GTAAAAAGCCATTAAATCAGACAAATGCAGACATTACGGTTAAGCATTAAGCAAATGTCATACATAAACGGTAGCGTAAATTAGTTCAGCCGTTGCATTTCTCTGCAGTCATCTGGCAGGGGTTCGATTACAGTTTGCGGATCACGGTATAAAGATTAGTGTCTATCCTCAGTTGGTCGTTTATAGCAGTGTCTTACCAGGGTGTCGACTAAGAACGACAGTAACGTTGCCAAGTTCTTTCGCAGAATTTATGTCGGTTCAAAAACCACAAATTTCAGAAAAATGGTCATTCTTTGTCATTTAAAAGTTCATGTACAAAAATACTATCATTAGGCGATTTATTAGTTGTGCGAAACCACGCTGATAATCTGTCTCCCTGCTGCGATACTCATTCTCGACGTTTAACATTTTTTTATCCGCCTCTCGATACTTCTTTAACTTGACAGATGACAGACGGTCAAAACAAGTTCACTCAGCGACCTTCCACTGATATGTAACGTACACCAAATCATAGGTAGAAAAACATCTGCGAATCATACAGCTTTACACTCACAGCCACCACTGTGTCAAATTATCGCAGACCGCATTTACATCTACGTCAGAATGATGGTAGCGAGTTAGCAAACCGAGGCACGAGCTCGTGATCATTTCACCGCGAGTTCGGCAGTGGTTGTATATCGTTAAAAAAAGGATGCACATGGTGGTGATGTCAGCGAAAGTAGGTGCGTGGCAGCACTCAGCGAAAATAGCAGATATGATCAATAGAGTTAATTGAATTCGGTGGACTTCGTCTGGATGGCGGTGTTCCCATCGCCTCTTGCTGCGTCAGTAGGTCATTTTTACACCTAGATGAATGGCAGTTCTTGCTGCAGTTTTAATGTAATTGAGGGTGTGCCATTATTCTCGTACCTTCGATCAGGACAGTCTTATTTCTTAAGGTGATATTAACAGTTAGGTGGCCACCACAGCATATAGCCACCGGCCTCCATCGCATTTAATGATCCGGTCGGGATTCAGCGGCGAGTTGAGCGCTGTCTAATAAAGTTCTTTACTTTTTGGAAACGGTGGTCCCTTTTATTCTACTCTTGCTTTTTCTCATTTTGTTGTAGTTGCTGTGCTTGCTCTAACTTAGAAAACGACCGCGATTTAGGCTCGAAACACGCTATCAGAAAGTCATACTACGAGCAAGATTTGACTTGCACAAAAATGAAGAATCCGAACAGGCGAAGCGAACACTGGTGGAAGGCGTTAGAGAGCTATGGGAGAAGCAGCACCCTTACCCGTTGATCCGTAACCGCTTTTACGCTGCATAACCCTTGACTAAATAATGCTTTCTGTCCATTTAGAATGCCACGATCCGATGGGCAGCGCCTACGGAAGAGAACCGGACATCTCTGACAAGGTAATTCTTGCTTGAGCATTGCCTAACGACACAATCACGATGGAAGTGTCAAGAATCAAGCCATAGCTACATCTCCTTGAACTACGCTATTGATGCCAGCGTATAAAAGCGCAAAATAATGTATCGGGTCAGCAAGGCTTTTGAAAGACGCTATTGCTCTCTTCACGGTTCTGATTTGTTTCTGAGTCAGGTAAGGTAAGCACGGCTGAGATACGCTAGTCTTCGAGCAGAAACGATGGTATAAGTAACGCCTACAAAAGTCAGCCACAATGTCCCCTCTAAACGGCGATCCGGCCGTAGGGAGTGCGTATCGGTATCCATTGACCCGCATCATCCCTGGCACCGTTTTCAATCAGCTTAAGACGCGGCGTTACGTATCTCCTTTTTATGCCATAAACCAGGAATACATTATGTTAACGCTAATGCCTACAGATGTCTACGTACAGCATATGACCTCCCTTTTAATTTCTAAAGTATTGAAATTTTTGCTCATTTATCTACCTCAGAATTAAAAAATCATGACCCAGTGTTGACCTGGAGTTTCTTCGTGGTGACATTC